TTTTTTACCACTGTTTCTATTGGGTTTCATCTCTAGCCTACCCCAACTTGTTTGGCACTAAAAGGTTTTGTTGTTGTTGTTGTTGTTGTTTCTATACTTTGTGTTCGTTATGAGAAAAAACAATATTGATTTTATTAAAGAACTTTCATATATTAGAATTATGAAATGTGATTACAATTTTGCCATTAAAATTATATTAAAATAATGGCGTTTTTCAAAACAACAATTTTATATCCTATCAAACATTTTTAGAGATATGTGGAAGAAAACAAATTTATTTTAGGAGTGTGGAATGATTTGTTCATGTATTTGCATTTCATTAATTAATTAGTAATTAATTAATAATATAAGATATGATGGACATTATTATATTACTAATTTGTCATTAAAAACATGTCAAAGTAAGGGTTTTTTAGGTAGTTTATTTTTTAATTAAAAATATGACAGAGAAAAGTGAGAGATCGTGAATTTTGATGTATTTACTTAATAATAATTATGTTTGTTAGAAAAGTTATATTACAAATTTATCATTAAAATATGACCAAGTAAGGGTCTTTTTGGTATTAAATATTTTTACAAAAACACTCATCATTTTAGAGTAGTATAGATATAGATAATATAGATAAAAACAAAAAAGTCAGTAACTTGGCGAAGGTTGTGAAAAGAAAATTTACCTTGATCTTGCACTATAGTCTATATAATTACATGCTCGAAAGAGAAGAATCATTTTTCTGTACATGGAAGTAACACAAGAACAAAATGTTCTTCAGAGCCTGTTCGTGCACTTACATATATTTTTCTTTTCGCCACAGATTGAAGAATTGTGCCCTCACCTGCAAGTAAAGAAAAACTATTTTGTCAAGAATAATCCTTATGAAGAAAGATGTATCACATTGTTCTACGAGTCATGTACTTGCGTTTCAAAAAGTAGTACAATGATAAACAACTTACGTTTCAAAAGGCATGTTGCTTTATTAGAGGCATTTGCATTGTTGATGAATCCATTCCTCGTAATCTTGCAGCAGCTGTTTTATGAGCAAAGGTACAAGTTGATCTACTAAGGTCTGCATCATTCTGGAAAAACAAAAGATAAGATACTTATGGTGTGATTGGATAGGAATTTAATTGGTTTTTAACTGGTTTTTTTGTTAACCATAGTTAAATTTGAAAAACGTGGTATAGTTAATTGGTAGTGAGAGTTTAAGTTTATATGAAAATAATATTTAAAATAAAATTATTAAAGTTCATTTGATATAAAAGTGGGAGAGAGGTGATCGATGGTTAGTTAAAATTATGTGAGTTGATGAAGTGTGAAATAAAGTTTATGTGAGGGCAATGATGATTGATTAGTATTATTTAATTATATAGATCAAATTGAAGATAATGTGGTTGTGTTAAAGTTGAGTTAAATCTGAGCTTTGGTTGATTTTTTATTGTGAAGAATTTATATCCAATCACAACCTTAGCGTTGAGACTCTAGTGTGTAATTAAAGATCTCTTCACCTACTAGAACGAAAACGGAAAAAAATTAAAAATAATATTTACTAGTTGATTTGGATCAGTCCTGCTTCAGATAGTGTACCAATTTAGTTTCATAGACACCACCTGACAAATAAATAAATAGTAAATATTCCAGTTTAGATCGAAATCACAAATTCTTGTGTGAGGCGCCCTTACCTTTCGGCTAGTTGACTCGTCATACTTTTTTTAACAAAAAATGCATATTTATGCTACAAAGTGTTATGTTGTTTTTGAAAGTATGACATTTCCGTTTTAAAAGTATGCATATCTGTTGAAAAAGTACGATTGTTGTCAAACAGTATCCTTATTGGATTCAAATACATACTTATTCCAGTATAAAGCAATAAATATTGAGTTAATTTTTTTCCATTTTCGTTCTACTAGTTAAATAGATCAAATTGAAGATAATGTGGTTGTGTTAGATTGAGTTAAATTTGAGTTTTGATTGATTTTTTATTGTGAAGAATTTATATCCAATCACAACCTTAGCGTTGAGACTCTTTTTATTTCTTCAAGTGTGTAATTAAAGATCTCTTCACCTACTAGAACGAAAACGGAAAAAAAATTAAAAAATAATATTTACTAGTTGATTTGGATATCAGTCCTGCTTCAGATAGTGTACCAATTTAGTTTCACAGACACCACCCGACAAAATAAATAAATAGTAAATATTCCAGTTTAGATCGAAATCACAAATTCTTGTGTGAGGCGCCCTAACCTTTCGGTTAGTTGACTCGTCATACTTTTTTCAACAAAAAATGCATATTTATGCTACAAAGTGTTATGTTGTTTTTGAAAGTATGACATTTCCGTTTTAAAAGTATGCATATCTGTTGAAAAAGTACGATTGTTGTCAAACAATATCCTTACTGGATTCAAATACATACTTATTCCAGTTTAAAGCAATAAATATTGAGTTAATTTTGCTTAAGGGTTCCAGTACGTACTTATTTCCCGGACCTTCAACAGCTGATATGGGCATCAATGTAAATGGCCGGGTGTAAATCTGCAGAAGATCAGGATTAGAGCTAATGGGATGCATCATAGTAAAATAGACCAATCTATCATTTTTCAAATAAATATATCAAGAAAAGCTTCTTTATGGGTGTCGTGTTATGTGTAACACACAACAGCTACTCCAATTTTCGTTGATCAATTGGTCAATAAGACAAATTTGCAAAAACATCATACAATAACTCTTAACCCGCCCATGAAAGAAGAAAGCTTCCCATCCAACAAAAATTCAAGTTTATTATAAGGCCAAATAAGCCTAATGGTCGCAATTTTACGCAGTAAGGATAACTAAATATATAACAAACTGAGGAAAATAAGAGGGATAACAACCTCAAGGATGAGATTTAACTTCACGTCTACATCCAAATATTGTTCAGCACCAACAGACTCCCATTTTATGTGGTTCCTCATAAAAGCTACAAATATTTGAAAACAAAAGTACAGAGTCAATCTTTAATGAAAGGCAAAAACAGCTCTCACATGGAAAACGTGTTGAAAAATGAAAAATGTACCTGAAAACTTCTCGTTTTGGCGTTCCATGAACTTAGAACCTTCAAACTGAACAAAAGAAGGAAAGAAATATGTAAATTTTGCATCATATCATAGATAAGTTGTTAGTGAAGCAGTAATAACAAGAGATGCAATGTTCGCAACATAAATTCGAGAAACAGGCAAATCCACCACAAACGATATAACAAGAGAGGGAGAAAAAGTTACGAAGCGTACCTTGCAAGACAACATCTCAACTACACAATCTTCATTAGTTGGAATCACTTGTAAGTCCAACACTGGTGAAACTCTAAAGCTGAGAAATTTTATTTGTGGAAGAACACACCTGCATTTAGCTTGAATAATTCGTAAAAACGATACTGGAACAAACAAAAAGTAACAATTTTGGAGCGTTCATGTGTTCCAAGAATATCCCAATTTGCAAATTCCGAAACTATGTTTCTATTTTCTGTTCTGCTACATATGTTCTATTTCGTCCACAACGGCTGGCCCGTGTAACATATCTTCCAACCGTCAATACGACAATAACATTATGTTTATCATAACACTTTGCCATTCTTCCGAATGAATAAAGTATTTGCCATTCTTCCGAATGAATAAAGTGGAGGCGGCACATCAAAATTTTGATGGAGTGCTTAGATATTCTAAACTAAATTTATTACCTCACGGAGAGACCGAGTAGAAAACCAATATTGATTTCTGTTCTTCCTCCCTTATTGGATACACAAATTGAACTATTTTCTGAACTTCTCAAAGATTAATTTCACATGAATCAAAATGCCAAGTATAGATGCATATTGTGCAGACACACACACACACACACACACAGAGAGAGAGAGAGAGAGAGATCATGTACCTATACAAATTGGAATCGAGGAATTGATAACTCTGCAAGGCACTTGTGTTCAAAATTGATTCAATTCCAGATGGATGACTGAAGAACTTACTAATATGGTAATTTTCATTTTCTCCAACCCTATCACCATAATTAGGAAGCTTAATTCTCTCCTTCTTTCTGGCACCCAGATTAGCTTTCTTTCCACCTCGCTCGGACAACTTTTCTGTCTTTACACACACTTGAACACATCCATTTATCTTCCTTAATCGATAGAAAAACGAAATAAAAAAAAATTAAGTTTCTCAGCAGAGATACAGAACAAAAAGGGTTTTATGCAACAAAGTCCAATGTATTCATAGAGGCGAAGAAAGTACCTGGGTCTGGAACTAAATGCATCTTGGCGAAAATGAGCATGAAATGGGGAGCAAGCAGAATGGTAGCTAGCTGCCTCCATTAATGGCGGCCTCTGCTCTGTTTGTCGAATTGTTGATGAATATTTTAGTTTTGAAAAAATTAATTTGAGACATTACTTTATTCGGCAGCAGGAGACAGGTGTTAGAAAATGGGCAAAAACCACCCGTTTTCTTTTGCTAGCCAGCCACGGTTCCAGAGCTGTATCCCGACTAATTCGTTGGACGATCCGAGTCGCACACCTGGCAGTGGTGGGTGAGTCTCCCAACAAGGATTTTCTACATCCACAAAGACTCGAACCGGTTTTTGATTAGTAAAGACTGCATACATGATATATTGGTATATATATTTTGTGATTTTAAATTATGTTTCTTATTTATATAGTGTATCTTTATTCATTATTATTTTATATTAATCAAATAATGATAATTACTAAAAATCATAATAAAAAAAAAGTATATAAATAAATAAATTCATATACAAATAATCTTCATTGTTTAGGATAATCATATTTGCTAGAAATCTTCATATGATGCTATAATTCAATGATCTTTGTACTCGTAATACGTTCTACTCTTCGGGAATATAATGTTGTTTGTGAATATATTATATAATAAAAGATTCTTTGGTTGTAAAGATTTTTTTCAATACTCCAGAGTATCAAAATCTTCTCAATAAATGTGCTTCCTTTAATAGGACTCTTCATTGGTACGAAAATCTCTAGATACGTATAGAGTTTTTAAAATTGATGTAAATACGCATTTTTCCTTATAGGTGAGATTCTCCAAATATGAGTGAATTTTCGGTAGATATCTTTCTAATCTTCACAAAACACGTTCAGATCTCATAATCTCGTGTACATCTCCTCCTCTAGTCAATATCCACCTTATAGAAAGGTTCTTACAAATGTAAAAACCTTAAAAGCATATAATCATCACAAGTACAAGTAAAGATATCTATGACTATATATAAAGTATATATCATGTTATCCTTCTTCCAAGATTTAGGACCATTATATTTGTCATATTATAAATTAAGCATACATCGATGGAAAATAAATATTAGGAACTAAATAATAAACAAGTAAATAAATAGAAACTTTTTCATTAAATTGTTTTGCATGCTTAACAAGAAAATCATCAAAATAACATCAAGAAAGTAGGATTAAATTCAATTTAATATGCTTAACAAGAAAATCATCAAAATAACATCAAGAAAGTAGGATTAAATTCAAATGATGCCGACAATATATTCTACCTGTTATTGCCCGTGTGATCCACGTGTTATGCACTAGTAATAATAAATAAATAAAAAAAGAATAAAGTAGTAATTTGACACCCATCTCCCTTCGGATTTGCTGACATCGCATTGCATATTGTAAACCACCACCCTTCGTCCTCGCGATCGTACATACTCAAATATGAACTAAAATAAAATTATAAAACAACATGAAGAAAAACTGAAGAGGTGTATATCCTTATAAATGTCATCTATTGAGTGTCACTTAATCAACACACGCATGCAAAAACACAAACAAACCAGAAAAAACACTACTATCAGCCATCAGGCCATTACACCATAAGGATTGTCTTCTCCCTTTTCTTTTAATGTTTTGGAACCTATTACATTTCACCTCAAAGATGTTTTTCTGAAACCTAATTTCGATTAACTCGCTAAACAAATGATAATTGAGGAAAAAAGACAAAGTCCTGCTAAATACTAAACCAGACAAAGACTGCACATCTCACCAGTCATTCTCTCTTCACAGTTCACACCTTCTCAATCACCCTCAGTTTAGCACTGCGGCTCCTCGGGTTCAGCCTCTCCTCCAACTCGCACGGCGTTATCGGCCTCTTTGTCAGGACACATGCATTCGGTCCACACACCATCTGCTTTATCCATGCCTCGTTTTCATCGTAGGAAATGAGTTTCTCGGAACTATTACTCACCAAATGCCTCTCTTTGCTGTTCTTATCATTACCTCCATCAGCACCTTGGTTAATTATGTCCAGAAACGACTGCTTCACGATTCTGTCCTCCAAGCTGTGGAATGTTATGACCGCCAGCCTTCCTCCTGAGGCAAGACAACCGAAACACGTGTAGATGGAATCTTTCAGAATGTTTAGCTCATCGTTCACAGCTATCCTCAAGGCTTGAAACACACGTGTCGCGGTCTTTATCCAGCCTTGTCTCCCTCCTGTTTCAAATTTGGGAACATCTTTGAGTTGAATGAAACTTTTTTTAAAATCAATTGTGTTCAATGGCAACATATCCGACTTTAGGGTTAAGAAACGAGGGTTTGGTTTGTACAAAGTGCATACTCATACTTACATGCAATCACGAAAACCATCTTAAGGTACCTATTACCTGATAAATGAATACCCTGAGGATGCACTTAGTAAAATGGTAAACAAATTTAAGAATTTTACTTTTTATGAAATACAAATTAGGATAAACCTTATCAGTCGTTTTTGTACAAAGAATTAAACCTTGTCTAATAAACTACAAAACGAGCTTATATTCTCATCTGATTCTGATTCAAATATTAAACAAACAGACCTTAATCGAGCTCAACTGATCTATTACGTATTGCAGAATGAAACTAAAAAGAGGGAAAATAAAAAGGACCTCTTGTCCAAGAAGTTGAGCTACGAATGAGGTCAACCAGTTCGCGTGTCGAATGCAGTCCGCCAGTTGATCGAGCCCTGATGATTTTCTTTTGGAGAGAGAACCAGTTGCTCTCTTCGCCGTAGTCCCGCAAAATCCGACCCACTTCAGCATCTGGCCATAAATTTAAAATGTCTTCTGCTTTCAAACTAGTCTGTCATTCCCTGTTCTTTATCAGTTAAGGTAAGGACAAGCTACGATGAAAATTTCACTTAAAGCAAAAGAAGAAGCTGAAAATATAAGTTGACTTCATTATCTTTCACAAGAATGCCTTGGTGGGAAACAAACAAACAGAGTTTAAGCAAAGATTTAACCAAATAATAGTTTCTGGCAACAAAGTGTCCCATGATACCTCTGAATGCATACAGAAATACAAGGATCTGTACTAAAAGTTGGTTACTGTATGCAGATTTGTAGGTGCAGGTGCAATTCAACTATACTGCCTAGATAGACTCGCACAACTTGCCTTATAAGAAAATTATACCTCAACAACTTGAAAGTTTTAATATGCAATGAATCACAGGGATAGTGAAAAATCACTAATACAGAATTCAAAATTAGGATTACCAACCTAGGGCAGTTGATGCACTTAACAAAACAGTGCCGGAAAAAACAAAATTAATCAAAGCTTTATCACTTTCCTATGCTGTTAGAATACAGAAATTCGTAGTGATTGTTCGTAAAAATTTAGAAGATGCTTATGTACAGAAGTCACTTCATATAATAATATATACATTGCAACGTCTTTGCTGCTTTAAGTTGCTACACAAGACACTATGATGAAGAGAACAGAGCAAATCTTGATTTATCACCAATGCTATAAAGATCTAAGAGACTTTATTCATGACATGGTAATATCTGGTGGCAGGCAGCAGTAGTTACCTGAGGATTCATCCGCATATCTAGAGGTCCATCACATAGTACACTAAACCCTCTTTCCGAATTGTTTACCTGCAAACCATTAGAGAAAGAAACACTTTCAATATCTTAGTTATACTTCAGTTCCTTTAGTTTTTCATTAACATAGACTGTAGATACCAAGCTGTAAGTACTAATGAATGGAAATGTGCACCATAGTCATACTCAGGTATTTACTGCATGAGGAAACTGAAAAAAGAACATACAAGTGGAAAGGATATAGTTTTTCAAGTGAAATTCTAATACTGAGTTTAGAAAACCAAAAGTCACAAATTTTATCAACAAGAACACCTTATAGTCTAGATAAGATGGCCATACGAAATTCAGTGAGGAATTTTGTCGGAATGGAAATTTTTCATCATTTTGAAATAAGCAGCATATCTAGGTAGGCAAAGGAGACATACATACATGCATGTACATGAGTATGAGCCACTATAGTGAGAGGAACGTAAAGCCAAACAATGCGTTTTTAAAAAAGTTAAAAAAATGCACGACATGGTACCTGCATTGACGACATTCCCAAGTCCATCAAGATTCCTTGAACACGAGGAATCAAAGGATTCCCATCAATATCTTGAAGCACAGATTTAATATTTTTGAAGTTCTTCAAGTGAGTATGTACTCGTAGGGTTGCTCTAGATAGGCCAGAATCTTTTTCCAATATGCCATTGATTCGAGTTTGAGCTATCTCATGGGCAATAGGATCAACGTCTAATCCAACGTAAAGTTCCATCTCAGGGTGTGCCTCAATTATCTGTAAGTAACAACAAAGGAGGCAAAGGGCATATAGATAAACTGAGCATTTTTTCTCATGTCCTCCTATGCATAACATAATGCAAATCCTAAATGCTTCATTTGAAATTCTCGACTTCGTCTATCCTTGTCTTAAATGCTCCTTAATTTGTTCCACAAATTGCCGATAAACGACCCCAACAGGGAACCAAAAAAAAAAAATTGTTGCTAGGCATTAACAAGATAAGAATTTCCTCGTGCAGTTGCCCAGTATCACAGATAATTTTCATTCTTTAAGGCCAGGCATAGCCGAATATCAGGGAAAAGTCTGCATTTCAAACCAAATTGCGTCACTATAACACATTACTAACAACAATCAACTGAAGATATGAAATTTCAATTATTTCAGCATTATCCCAAATGATGGTCATCCATCATTTCACAAGTATTCGATTAGAAAACAATGTCACATCATGGTTTTAATTCCAATCCCTAAATTCAGAGAGAAAAAGACTTGAAAACAACTGAAACAATTCACCAACCGCGGCTGAGTGGCCGCCCGCGCCGAGAGTACAGTCGACGAAGGATTTCAGGGGTACCGAGGCAAAGGCGTCAAGCACTTCGCCGAGCATGACGGGGACATGGGCAGACTTGTCATTTCGGTACTGCTTCTCGAATCCTTCCTCGTCAAGCTCCCTCGCCGACCGCGTCCGTCTCTTCAACAGCAACTCCGCCTTCTGCTTCTGCTTCTGAGTCTCTCTTTTGCTTTTGTTCCGACGAGTGGAGTCCGCGGGCCTAATCGTAGCGTTGACGGAAAATTGACGAGGGGAGATTTTTGGCGCAGCTATGGAGGATGAATGGAAAAGCAGCTTCTTGATAAGTGATTTTACGGAACCTGTTGTTGCAGGCATGGCCATTGAGTGTGTGAAGAAAAAGCTCCCCAAGGAGGTTTTGTGAGTTTTATTATGGTAATTTGGAAAAATATAATAAATGTAAGACTTTTTTAATTTACAAAAATACCTACAAATTCCGATGGAATGGTTCCGTAACGGGACTGTAAGGAATTCTGGTAGTTCAGCCACCCGGAGGGGATGTTATAAGCTGCTACATTAATTGGAGATGGAGCAAAAGCCACTCTAAGAAGGAAGCGAAGTGAAGAAGCCATCAGAATTTGGGGCCTGGATTGTGGCTCCTCAACTTAATTTTAGGCGGATTAATAGGGTCAACCTCATCGTGCGACGGCTATGTCCAAGAGTACTCGTCGTTAATAAGACTGCGAAGGCTTTTGATCTTTCTTTTGATTTTTTAAAAGATCGTGTTGATCCTCGTGATAGTGATGATCCCTCTGATAGTGATGATCCCTCTGATGCTAGTTCATGAAAGTTCATTCAGATACTTAATATGCGGGTTAGGATCAATCTAAACCCGCCTAAAGGTATGTGATTCAACATGCCAAAGCAAAATACTGGTGTGACTGAAGCAGACCAGGAAATGCAATGTTTTATCCGATCCGACAAGCACATGAGGAAAGTGACTCGCACAGGTAAGCAAAAAGGGCTGCTATCAGACTATATCCCAGCAGACACTTATTACTAAGAAACCAACGTTTAACGAATCAGATTCAGAATCACCCAGGATCTCTCAATACCTTCTTCTGGTATCACAGCCTATTCTATCCTCCTCAACCTCTTTCGGGTTCAATCCATTGCCGACTACCCTCTCCCACTTACTCCTATAAAGTAGCTTGCTCTCTGTCACCACTGTCAAGTCTGACTATTCACCCGAAAAAGCTTAATAAGAATTTGTGTTGTGTAGGAAAATGGACTGAGAAGTGGGTTTCGGGAGAGAGATCATCGGAAGGCATCTATCCCGTCAGCTCTACCTTTCTCGGGTAGCTTCTAGGCGAGGTTTGATGTAGACTAAGGGTGCTCGTAGATCAGAGGAGACATGTCAGCCGTAATTGACCCAAGACCACCTATCCGGCAAAGGGTACTAAACCTAGTAATCCTTTTCGAAGATTTGTTTTGAATGGCCATATCTACAACACACCAATCTAGAATGATTATCCACTAGTTCCGAATCTATCCAAGCCTGAATCCATCCAAATTGAGTGCGATTTTCAGCATTTCAAGAGCAGATTACATCCGCACAGAGATACAGGAATTCACGAAATTTGCAGCGTTCTAAACCTTGCTCCAAATGTTGGGTGAGTTGGACTAACCGTTCCCTCACCGTTTTGGTCGGTTTGTTTTGGCGGACCGGTGTCGTCAACACGGATGTGCTAGAAGAAGAAGAAGACTACAACAAGACTAGGAGAAATAAGACTGGAAGGAATAAGAACGGATTTCACGTCCTCTATGACTTCACTTCACTTCGAAAAATTCATTGGGTACGAAAATCAGATTTATTCGCAACCATGATTGGAGTCACCCCAAGCTGCTTTGTTAACCGCAATCCCTCCTGTACCCCAAAAAGTCCGGCCAGTCTGTAGGACCGAAGTCCGAAGAGCAGGATAACATACGTAAGACGAGAAGTTCACTTGTTCTGAACAAGAAGTTATGCCGTCTTTGGCTTCACTTCGCTTCTAAAGTTGGGTCAAGGATAACTAAAATAGTCTCAATACTACTACTATAAGAATATGGAGGAATTAAAGACTGGAGATCTCCATCCACTCATGTAAATTACAATGTCTCTCTTGTGGACGGTATCAAGCATGTCATGGCTCGTGATTGGATAAAGTGGTTGGGGGGAATAAAAGAGTCGAGTGAGAGTGATAACGAGAGAGTGGAGATTGAGCCAGTGCGAGTTCGGAAATTTCTTGCTTAAATCTTCTTCCATTTCGCCTTCACACCAGTGGCCCGTCGTTGTTATCATCATCTTCCCTTCTCATCTTCTTTGTCTCTTTTAGCGACGTCGCGAAGCTTCTTCACCTCTTTCTCTATCTTTTCTTTTGTTTCTGGTACCGCAGAAACTCTTCTTTGAATGCCCAAAGAGAAGCCTTCTAGGGATCAACTCATGGGATCCTTGCGTCTATGCATCGTATAGTTTTCTCTTCGCCTTACTCTCCTTCTTTCCAGGGACAGAACGAGACACACTTTGCTCTCCTTTCTTTTCTAGGCTTAAAGGCCCTAGAAATCAGTCAACTAGAAAAGGGTGCATGAAATATAACTGAATCCAGTGAAAGCATAAGACGATCTGCTTTCCATTCGTGGATGTTGTGGAATTCTCTGCTGGTTCTCATACAACCTTCGCCTCCCACTACAGCAGTAGCGCTGGCATGGTTTTAGTTTATGATCCAACTTTTTCAGCTTTAGCATGGATCTCATTGGTGACTCAAATTTGGTGGTTTGACAGACAGATGACCCTATCACATTCAAGGATTGGGAGGAGATAGATTGAAACATGTCGGGCAGTCATTATAAATAAAATAAATTATAGTGATAAAAAACTCATTTTTAATTCATCTCATTAAAATTGAGAAAAAAAATAATTTTTTGTTACAATTCATTTCTAGGATTCATTTTACTAAAATACTATACACAAGAAAACCAGCAAATATATTATAAACAATAAATACATAACTATAAATTGATTTTTATTATATTTATATAAAATAAATAATGTTCATTATATTTGTATTTTATATTTATAAAATTAATTACATTTTTTTAAAAATATTTTTTTTATTTTTTGTCTATATCTCTCTTATATATATAAGTAAAAATGGTAGGCCTTATTTGCCCGACATTGGCGATTTTTGTTGTTGCAAATTAAGCCTCCAAGGCGGACACATGGCTTTTGTTTGCCTTTGCGCTCTCAAGTCGCACGACTATGTACGCGTCCAGGTTGGTATTTGAGGAACTGTTCCTCATTTGTGGTCCTAATCGGCTTGGAAGTAGTCCAAGTCAGTATTTGAGGACCAGCTTGGAAAACCAGCCTTTTGTATGTCTATTTTTGAACATTTTGAGCCCCCACTTGCTTTGCCACGCATCACTCCTCTATTAGTCTTGATGAAATTGGTACCAACACTTACACATCACATCAATTTCAATTTATCATTCATGCACTCACATAATTTCACATATCCATCATTTCTAATCAATGAGGGATCTTGGAATTTTATCGAGGGGGGCCAAACTAATAATAACAAAAAATAAATAGATCAACTATAAAATAAATAAATCAATAAAAGTACCGACTAAATAAACACAATACATATGTCCGAGTATTCAAGAAAATAACTTACAATAACATTGTGAGATCGCAACATTTCTCTTCTATTTTTCATGTGTTTGAAATCGTTGCATGATAGCCTCATTGCTAACGTTCTGAAATATATAGAACAGAGTTACGGATAATTCTCTATATTAGTTGGGTTGGAAGTGGGTTGAAAATGAACAAAAAATAAAATAAAATAGAAAATACTGGCAATTTACTTTTCCATCAAGTAGTCCTTCCGCCATCTTTGAATCGGACGCTGCTTGTGCTGATGCCGAACGTGGATAATCCCACGTATTTGAAGAATTTTTGGCCCATTAGCCTGCTGAATGTTGTCTATATAAAGTGGTGACAAAGCTTCTGGCGGAACGAATGAAGAAGGTGCTCCCTCTCCTTATCAATCCAGCGCAGTCCAGCTTTGTTCCAGGTCGCCAGATTACTGACAATATTGTCCTTGCTCAGGAGCTTATTCACTCTATGTGGGGCATGAAGGGTAAACGGGGCCTTTGTGAGTGCAGTGATGGCGTGCATTTCCTCTGCTACCATGCAACTGCAGTGGAATGGGGGAATTAACGAGGAGTTTACTCCTAACCGTGGAATACGTCAGGGCAACCCGATTTCGCCCTACTTATCCGTCTTGTGTATTGAGCGTCTGGCTCACATGATTGATAGCTCGGTAGGGTCGGGTACGTGGAGGCCGATCTGGGTGGGGCGTAGTCAGATTCCCGTGCCCTATCTTATGTTCGCTGATGACCTGCTTTTGTTTCTCGAGGTGGACCAGGTCCAGGCGGATGGGTTGCAGTCCATTTTACGGGCTTTCTGCCAGGCTTCCGGGCTGAAAGTGAGTGAGCCTAAGACACAACTTTTCTTTTCTCCTAATGTGGGGACCCAAACTCGCCTTGACCTGGCCCATCGGCTAGGGTTTCGGGTGGTCGATAACTTGGGTAAGTATTTGGAGATGCCTCTTATACACAATCGGGTGACTAAGAACACGTATGTGGAGCTCGTTGAGAAAGCGGATAAACGGCTCGCTAGATGGAAGGCATCATCGCTCTCTTTGGCAGGTCGGTTTACTCTTGCTGAGTCAGTGATTGCTTCTCGTCCTTACTTTTCCATGCAAACGGTTTCTTTACCCCATGGAGTGTGTGATAGTTTAGAAAGGAAGCGTCGAAACTTTATTTGGGGGGACACGACCACTACTCGGAAGATTAGTTTCGTATCCTGGTCCGAGGTCTGTCGTTCTAAGTCGGCCGGTGGATTGGGTATGCGCGACCAACGTTCGATGAATAAGTCATTACTGATGAAGTTGGCGTGGACTTTTCTCTCCAAACCGGATTTGTTGTGGTGTCGTGTGCTTCGTGAGAAATATAATTTACAACCTTGGGCGATGAGCGAGGATTATGAGTTTCCCAACGGTTCGAGCGTGTTGCGTGCCCTTCGGGA